TTTTTGAGTCAGGGTCTTACTAAATTACCCAGGCTAGGTGGCTCGGTTTGAATTTGTGATTGTCCTGCCTCAGTCTCCACGTGTGCTAGGACCACTTGGCATTTATTTGAGTGCCAGTCCAGATTTCTAGGTGTCTGCATCAAGGTGGGTGGCAAATGTGTCAAGGAGGGCAGACACTGCATAGGATCCATCCACTCTGAACCAAGCCAGGCGCAGGAGGGGGACAGCGCAGCAGGAGTGCCGTGGGAGTTGGGTGACACTAAGGTTCTGATTGGGCTGCTGGGAAAGATGGCAGCAGTTTCTCTATGCAGTGGGGACCTGGTGGGAGGGGCTTCTCTGGTGGCTTCTGCCCAGTGCCTGGCATGCGCCGGGCCAGCATGTGGCATGGGATTGGTCCCCACACACCTGCTCCTCAAGCTCAGGGAAGCTGTGTGTGCTCAGCCCTGGCTGGCCCAAGCAGAGACCCCCTCCTTGACCAGGTTTCCTATTAGGGATGTGGTAAGTGGTTATGGGTTGTTGGAGGGCTGGAGGCCTTGTCCGAGACTGGGTGGACAGATGGCCCGCACCTCCAGAGCCTGGAGGCAGCCTGCTCTGCCAGTGGCGGCAGTTGCAATGTATTGGTTCAAGGGAGCTGGTGCAGGAGGAGGTGGAGCTGTGCAGACTCCAAGGTTGTCTGTGTGTGAGCACAGTCACTGTTTCTGCAAGTCCTGCCACCACAACTGCAGGCACTTGCCTGTGTGCACCTGCATTTGCTCCCAGGGAGGAGGGAGCCTGGGGTAGACCCTGTTTCTGCTGAGTTTTTCATGCAAGAGAAACAAAGCTTGAGTTGTAGGGAGAAGGAAAACTGGACTCCTCTTTTGCTTCACGCTAGTTCTTCCAGACCCATCCTGGGTGGGTAAGGGTTTAGTACCAAGAATGGGGAACAAAGCTTGCTGACAGTTGTCCCCATCTTGGTGGAGAATGGAAGAAAGTGGTACATGCAGCAAGGCCAGTTCCAGGGCCGCCAGGCTGGGGGTGTGTCCTGGCGCTCCCAGTGGCAGGATCTGGACAGTGTGTGCTGTCTACTTCCCAGAGGATTGAAAAGTACCAAGTATTGTGATCACGTCGCCAAGCCTGCAGCCTTCGCCTTTGCTACCATGAACCGAGTGAGAGAGAAGCATCAGGTTCTTACCTAAGTTCTTAGAGTCATGGTGGGCTGCACAACGACACCCGCAGCAGGAAGGTGTCGCTGAGCTAAGGCTTGCTCGCTGCCTCAGGCCCCAGGGTGTCTTTGCCAACCTGTTTTGCTGTTTGACTTTTCAGGGCTTTCCCTGGTCTCTCAATCTTCTAAAGTCACCCAGCATTATGTGTGTATCCCATGTCCATCATCTTCCCCCTTAGTGTGTCGGGGCAACTGACATGGGTGCCCTGTGTTGGGCCACTGGCCCTTGCCAACTGGGAATCTAACGAGTCTCCCTGACCAGTGAACCTGTCAGACCTTTGGTAGGAAATACAAGTTCTGGAGAAGCAGATTGGATGCCATACAAACAGCCACCAGGCCGAGCTGGAGACCTCTTTCTTCAGGTTGATGGCACTGGGCAGGTTAAACAGGGACTGTTCCGGGGATCATTTGGGATGTGTGAACCTTGTTCGGATCATGATTCGGATGACTCAGCCATGGAAAAGAGTTTGTCTTTTAATAGTTGAGAAACTTTAGTTATTACATGATAGGAATTAACAAATGCTCCATAGAAAACTAGAAATACACTGACTTGAAAGCGTCTACTCTCCAGCACATTTGGGCCTGGCAGTGTGTGGTTATTTTTCCCTTTCTGATAGGGACGCAGTGGGACTGTTCTGGCTGCCACTGGCCAGCAAGCATCATGAGAAAGATCCAGATCCAACATTTGAAGTGTGGTTTCTCTTGAATCGTATACCACCGTCAAGTTCAACTGTTGGAAGTCAAGGCTTTATAATTTTAGGTGACTGTGTGGTGAACAGTTCTGATGTCAGCATAGTAGAGAACGTCACGATGACTGATTTATTTTAAAATGCATTCTGGCAACCAAGAGACCAAACCTGCATGACCACACATTCCAGTTATTAAATATGTGTGGTAGGCGTCCCCCATGTCTCCTACCTAGTCTGTGGTTCTCAGGTTCTGGGCACCGTGCTAGGACCCTTGCACAGGCACGCCCCCCCCCCCCCCCCCCAGGCCCTCTCCCCCCCCCCCTCCCCCCCCCCCCCCCCCCCCCCCCCCCCCCCCCCCCCCCCCCCCCCCCCATGAGGAAAGGAGGCAGAGGTTAGTTGTTTTGTCTGACATTATGGGACTTTGACCACAGTCAAAGATGGTGCCTGAACCCGGATCTTGGAGACCAAGGTGCGCCTCAACCCCACAGGTGGGCCTGGTGCTAAGCACTGCTTGGGATGTGTGGTGACTACAAATTACCTCCTAGCTGCAGCTGTTCCTTGCCTCCTGCTGTCTCCAGGGACCCACCAGATCCCTAAAGTAGCAAGCAGTGCCTGCTGTAGAACGGACATGTGACCCTTGTCAGGGTAGAAGTGTGAGGTGCTTGGTAGAACACGTTTTCCACTTGCTGCCTGTTTTGAGAATTATGGCAAAGTCTTTGTTTCTTATTATCAGTTAAAAATCACTCTTTCCCAAAACCTTAGATGTGCACTTAGAGGTGTGCCATGCCTTCTTTCACTAAGTATGTTGTTGATGCATTTCTGCTTTGAGTCTAACATGCCTTGTCATTGCAGGCGGACATCTGGTCCCTGGGCATCACGGCTATAGAGCTGGCGAGGGGGGAGCCGCCCCACTCCGAGCTGCATCCCATGAAGGTTCTGTTCCTCATTCCAAAGAACAACCCCCCAACACTGGAGGGAAACTACAGCAAGCCCCTCAAGGAGTTCGTGGAGGCCTGTCTGAACAAGGAGCCAAGCTTCGTGAGTTTGTGCTCCTCTGGGATGCGGCTGGGTTTCTGGGTGCCTGTTGGGATCCTTTCAGTCATATCAGCTATCTTTGTGGTGTCATGAGAATTTTTCTCTAAATGAGTTTGATTTCTCTGAACTATAAATAGGCTTCTGCTTTCATTTACTCTTATAAGGGTAAAAAGTCTACTTATTTTCTTATAGATTTTTTGAGCATCTCATGCCTCATTGAAGCTGAAGATCTTAATATTATGGGACAATCACCCATTTTTACAGGCTTTGAGGAAGATGAGGCTGTGAACCATGCAGTTTTTAGTGCTGGTTAACGCTGAACAGTGGTGGTCCCCGTGTGGTTTCTAGTTGGCCAGAGTGTGCTAGGATGCATTTTGTGGTTTATTCACGGTGGCAGAGCCTGTGGGGGTGCTGCATAGCTTCATCTCCTTTTTCTCTCCCCAAATCAAGACCTTCTCTGAAAGCCGCCTGTGTATTTGGTGCTGGATGTGGCACCCCTTTCTGTGTCCCACAGTCCGTTCCAGGTCACACCTCCTGCGAGCATGCGTTTCCTTGGGGGGCCTGGCTTTGCCACCATTGATGTCCAAGACCCTGACTAAGCTCAATGTCCTGAATCCTTCATGGGGGCTGTGCATGGCCAGGGTGGGGGCAAAGTGCTGGCCTCAATCACTAGGGTGGGGACATTTGGGGCTGCTGGTTTTCTCATGGGAGAGAGTGGTGACCGGGAGCCAGTGTCCTCTAGCTCGAGAGGAGAGATTCTTTTGCTAGCTTTGTTGTCTTGCGGTTGTTAGCCATAGCATAGGCAGGAAGTCCTCTGTGGAGTGAGCACATCTCTCTGTCATGTCTGCTGCGGAGCACCCAGCCAGGCAAGGAGAAGAGCAGCTGTTAGAGACGCTGCCTCCTCAGGTCCTGCACTGCTGTATGGCAAGGGGCCTCTTTCACTGGATGCTTCCTAGCAAGGAAACTAAAAGTACAGAGTCCCAGGCAGGAGTGCAGTGGCTTGTCTTCAGTAGGCCCAGGAGCAAATGGGGCCTTGATACTGGAAAGAGGTACTCTGATGTTTGGAGGGAAACACTCCCCTTGGGAGGGTGGAGAGCTACAGGAAGGATGATCTCCCCCTCATCCTTCACAGAGACCTACAGCGAAGGAGTTGCTGAAGCACAAGTTCATCATTCGCAACGCCAAGAAGACGTCCTATCTGACTGAGCTCATCGACAGGTACAAGAGGTGGAAGGCTGAGCAGAGCCACGATGACTCCAGCTCTGAGGATTCAGACGCGTAAGTCACTGTCTGGGCGTCATTGGGCTGTGACCAGCCTGGGACTCTGGATTCTCAGCTCGTATTGCAGGGTGGAGTGAAGTTTTTTGTTCTTTCTTAGATGGCCCAGGCCAAAGTGATACCTTTGTGGTGCACCATGCAGCCAGGCTTGAAAGTCTTAGGGTCATGTGATATGGCCAGGGGCTTCCCTGACATGTGTGGCAAATTGCATGTGGCCCTTGCTGCGCCTGTTTCCACTGTGCTCCTGGAGTGGCCAAGGAAGTCGGGCTGTGGGGTGGAGCTGAGCCTGGAGCAGGCTTGGCAGGTGCAGCAGGGTGTGGGGAAAGAGAAGCAGCACTGCTGCAGTGTGGGGACCCTGGAGCACTGGGCTGTACAGAGAGCATGGGCTGGCTCTGGAGAGAAGACAGGGACAGCTGGAGGCGGAGGGCAGACAGGCAGTGGAGCACAGTGGGGAGACGGGTGGCCAGAGGGGCGGGGGCAAGGCAGGGATCAAAGCCGGTTCCAGTTTGGCCAGAAGGAGGCATTTGGGCGAGAAACTGAGGCCCCATGGGGTGTCTCACAGCTGAGCACTGTCCCTCTGCTTGAAGAGGTGCAGAGTGGAGTGCCCGTGAGATGATGGCCTGGTCTCTGGGCGTCGCTGGGGGACTGCATGAGGCTGAGGTGAGGGTGTTGGAATCGGAGGCAGCGGCATCACTGAGCGAGTTGCTGGGATGTCTGTGTCCAGGGAGACAGATGGCCAGGCATCAGGGGGCAACGACTCCGGGGATTGGATCTTCACTATCCGAGAGAAGGACCCCAAGAATCTTGAGAATGGAGGCCTTCCGCCCTCAGAGTTGGAAAGAAGTAAGGTACGGTTGCTGTGCTCTGATGCTGGGGCTTGTTGGCTGTGGGAGTTTGAGTCCCTTTCCCTGGGGTGCGTGCTGTGGACAGGATGGGCGGGTCACCCAGCCTGCAGGCAGCCTGGGGTGGCAGACCCAGGGTTTAGTTGAGTAATGATCCAGAAGTTCCCACCGGAGAGTCTTCCGTGCCAGGCTTACTGATTTTGCTCTCTGCCCACAGGTCACACCAGCATCCTGTGACCCTCGGCCATGTGTCATTGCTCCCTTTTCATATATGCAGTGACTGTGTGTCATTGTCATTGCTCCTTTTTCACATATGCAGTGACTGTGGCTGCCTCTACAGGGCCATGACTGTGTGTTAGGCTTGTGTTTATATTGTATGATATTTTACAATTGAGCTTTATTGAGCCTATATAAATGAATGTATTGCTTTTATTATGTATAAATTTACAAAAAGCACCTGGGCATGATGGTGCACACACTTAGTCCCAGCACTGTGGAGGAAGATCTCAAGTTTGAGCCCACCCTGGGCAATATAACAGTGATGGTACTTCAAACTCTGGGACCACCACCACCAAAGAAAAGTGAACGAAAGCTGTACTTTTAGGATTTTCGGGGGGTGGATGTTCAGGACTGAGCTCAGGGCCCCACCCATGCCAGGCAAGTGCTGTTACTGAACCTCAGCCTGTCCCTTCAGAGATCTGAGTATGGTGGGCAGTTTTATTAATTCATTTATTTTTGTATTTTATTTTATTTTTTATTTTTTTTAAAATATTTATTTATTTTTATTTATTACATTTATTTATTGTGTGTGTGTGTGTGGCCAGCTCAGCCCACCAGGGGGCGGGTCTGGCTGGCATGTGGTGCTGGGGATCGAACCGCGGTCCCTGTGCTTTGCCAAGCTTGTTTCAAGTAGGTGCTTTAGACCACTGAGCCATCTCTCCAGCCCCTTATTTTTGTATTTTAGGGAAGGGGGTCTACAGGGTTTTCAGGGTCTCACTACTAGATCAGACTTGTAGTGATCTGCCTGTTTACAGCTTTCCAAGAGCTGGGATTCTAGGTGTGCGCCACCACGGCCAGTCTCAGTTGCCTTCTTAGCACACCTTGGTGGGTGGGGGGCAGCATGGCAGACCTGGGGATCAACCCTCCGGCCCCTGCACCTGCTTGCAGACGCTTTAATCAGCTGAGCTATTTGGCTGGCCCTGGTGGGCGATTTTAGCAGCCCCAGTCCCACAGGTCTTCTGGGATGTTGGGAGATGGTCAGTGTTCACACAGAGGGTGAAAAATAGTGCCTGCCTGCCGGCCGCTCAGGCATAGGGTCCCTGTCTAGGTCCAGGCAACGAAGTCCCTCCACACAGCATGGTTTGACAGCTGAGTGGCCGTCCCCTCACAGCTCACTGCCCATGTCCCTTCCCTCCCTCCCCTCACAGGATCTGGGCACTGGGCTCCCTGAAACCTGGGAGCCTCTGGGAGCTGTGGCCAGTGAGCAGGACGTGTCCCAGTGCTAATCTGTAGACAGCCCAGAAGCCGGGCGGGTGAGGCTGGTGTGGTGTCACCGGTTTCTGATGACCTTCCCTTTCTTCCCCTAGATGAAAGACATCCCAAAGAGGCCTTTCTCTCAGTGTTTATCAACAATTATTTCTCCCCTGTTTGCAGAGGTAAGAGGCCTGGTGGGCTTGCTGGAGATTATGGGAGGGAGGATGGGGCCTGGCTGCTGTGGGGCATGGTCACTAAAGCTGGGGACATTGAGCAGCTGGTAGGCACAGCGTGGTGAGGTAGGCACAGTGTGGTGAGTCCGCACTGTGCTCATAGCAGGTGCTGGCCGCAGGCGTGAGAGACCCCTCCTGCCCACCCTTGGCAGCTGTCTTCTGTCGAGTCTTCCCTGGCAGATGCCCAGCCCTGAGCCTGTGTTACTTGGGTGCCACGCAGCTTGGGGCCCTCCGTGAAATCTGGCAGGTGCAGCCTAATCTCTGGCTCAGGCAGATTCCTGGCAGTGTTCAAAGTAGCTTTATTTTAAGGGGACCCCATTTCTCCTGAGTCCCTGTGTTTTCTTTGTGCCACGGTGGGTGGCCGTGATGTGTACGTGCCTGCGGTGTGATCGCCTCGTCCTGTGGATACTCCAGGGAGCATCCACGTGTGTGCGTGCGCTTGTGTGTCCTTCTCTGGCTCACGCTGCCCTGGAGACGCCAGCTGCACCTCTGTCCATGGTGGTCTCCACTTCTCTGGGCAGCTTTGCTCAGGGGCCACATCCAGGGTCCCAGAACTCAAGTGAGGCAGTCTGTGAGGTGAAGGAAGCACTGCTCAGTCCCACTCTGAGGTCAGACATGGTCTCCAGAGTCACAGTGCCCCTTCCCAGCCACTCATGCTCCCCAGCTGGCTAGCACCAGACACATAGCAGCATCCTGTGGAGTGACCATACTGGCTTTGGGTGGAGAGGTACAGGCAAGGCGAGGCAAGCTGTGCTGCTCTGTGGCCACCTTCTGGTCACCGATGTCCTTCCCTAGACACCACTGTGGCTTTCAATATGTTGCCTGGGGCCGTGTGGCTTTCTGGCTGCCCGGTTGCTGTCCCATGACCTGCTATTGGCTGTGTTAATAGGATTGGCTAGGGGAAAGGGCACATATATTTTTCATTTGCCCAAAACTTTTTTTATTGGGTTTCAGAAGATGCTCTTGAGGTCATTACTTGGCAGCTTCCTCAGATTAATCTTAATGCAGAAATATCCGGGCTATCTGGAAGGTAAACTTGCAGACCCTCAGGCCACCTTCCCTGTGTATTTTTATTTTTTTAATTTTATTTATTTATTTGTGTGTGTGTGTGTGTGTGTGTGTGTGTGTGTGTAGCCAGCTCAGCCCACCAGGGGGCGGTGCTGGCTGGCATGTGGTGCAGGGGGATTGAACCGTGGTCCCCGTGCTTTGTCAAGCTTGTTCTAAGTAGGTGCTTTAGACCACTGAGCCATCTCACCAGCCCCTATTTTTATTATTGATAATACATTATGATCTGGGATTCAAAGTGTGTAATGGGCACGATGCAGAGGATAGTCCTGAGAGCTCACTGAGAGGAGGAGTACCCCTGTGTTTACACATGAGGATGGTGGGGCTGTCCAGGGGCTCCCCTCTCCCTTCTGCTTTGAGGCACAGGTGTGGGTGGGTAGGGACTAGGCGGGCAGGGGTTGTGGATGCAGATAACTCTCTGGCCTGGATGATCCTGTGCTGGTACGTGATGGGGTGTAGGAGGCTTCAAGGTCATCAGGGTTACAGCCCTGACAAACGGTATTCCCAGCACCCTGGGTCCTGCCTAGTCCTTCCAGTGGGGAGGAGAAGCTGTTGCTCTGACAGTGATGCTGGTTTGTCAGTGGTAACATGACTTGGTAACACCCTACAGAGCCAAAGCTCAGTGTCCTTTGATTTTTTTTTTTTTTTGGTGGTGGTACCGGGGATTGAACTCGGGACCCTGCACTTGCCAGGCAAGAGCTTATTCTACTGAGCTATCTCCCCAGACCCTGTCTTTTGAGATATCCATAGAGACAAAATGGAGGAGGGGGCTTGGGGGGGGCCTTGGTGGCTGTCACGTGCAGCTGCCATCTGGAGTCCCGGGAAGGGCGTGTAGTTCCGTGCCGGCTGGGTCTTGATCTGAGCCAGCTTCTGCTGTAGGGTACATATTGGTGAGGGTGGAGCTGACCCGGTTGAGGAGGTGCTGAGGACTCTGCTTTCTCTGGGAGCAGCGGGCAGGCACTGCAGCTCCAGAATTCGGGCCTCATGAAGGGCTTTCTGATGGCATTGGCCCTGAGGGCTGTTGCCAGAACTAGAGAGCCGACCTGTGGACACAGGAGCTAAGTTCAGACCACGCTGCCACTACAGTGTCACAGCAGAGTGGTGTCTGGTGGGCCTGAAGTGACTCTTCTGGAGCAAGAGTAGGGCTGGGTGGAAACAGAATCCCCAGTTTACAGAAAGGTGCACACGGAGCCCAGCTCCTTCGTCACAAGCTGTTCTCTGCTGGGACCCAGGGTGCCCTGGTGGCTGTTGGTTTCTGGGACCTGAAATAATGTCAGGGTGACAACGTCTGCTCCAGGATCTGTGCCGAGGGTCATGCTGCCTTTTGTGTTTTCAGCTAAAGGAGAAGAGTCAGGCATGTGGGGGGAACTTGGGCTCCATTGAAGAGCTGCGTGGCGCCATCTACCTGGCAGAAGAGGCCTGCCCTGGCATCTCAGACACCATGGTGGCCCAGCTCGTGCAGCGCTTGCAGAGGTGAGTGCAGGCTTCCTGTGCTGCTCCCTTGTCGTGTCCTCGTTCCCTTGGGGCCCCCAGACTCCAGTGCGCAGATTGTCCTGAATGTCACGACTAGGAGCTCTGCAGTGGAGCAGAGTCTTGGGACTCCTTGCCACGGAATGCAGGCTGCTTTGAGCATACCTGCTCTTAGATACGCAGTCTGCTTACTAAAGCCCAGTGAGCTGAAGAAGTCAAACCCAGCGTGCACATTAACTGCCCCCTGGGTTTTAGTGTGGTCTGGGGTTCAGCGTGCTGGAGGTGCTGGCAGAGGGGGTGTCTGCGAGCCTGTGTGTGGTGAGTTCCTTCTGCGGTGACCTGCAGTCTGCCGCGAGCCTGTCCAGCGTCTGCATGCTGCACCAGTAGTTCTGGCTGCTGTGTGTCTAGATGACGAGTAGGAGGGGGCTGCTGTGTCTGTCACACCGTAGTGTTTGGAGATGAGGTGTGCGGCCTGCCGGTAGCCCTGTGACTCTGGGCTCACTGTCACTGGGCCTTACTCGGGCCATGGCTTTGGTGTTTGTCCTTGTTCATCCAGGAATGTTTCTAGTGGGGTCACTTCAGCCATTTGTCCTTTGCCATGAGGTGATTACTGGGGCTGCCTGTTTGAACCCCTGGACCTGGGCTTCTAGCAAGAAGCAGTCCTGACACTCGAGCTTCATCTGCTTAGTAAAGGATGCTGCGAAGTTTTCAAGCTTGGGATAGAAGCTTAACACTGTATACTTGGCTGCTTCAATTTTGAGGCAGTTGTCTTTGTTCTCTGGCACCCTCCAGTACTAAAAGCCTCGTAACAGAATACAGAAGTAAAGGAAAGTGGAATTTTAAAAGTCACCCTTTTATTTTTATTTTTATTTTTTTTTATTTATTTG